TGTGTTGCGTTCAAGAAGCTGAGTACTGCGTTTGTCGCCTTCACTCGGGATGACCTCTCTGGATGACAGTCCAGAACAGTGGCCGCCGTCATCAGTCTGCAATCTATGCGAGCCAGCGGAGGTGCAAGTGATTCTCTCTGCGCATTGTAGCAAGGACAGTCGCAGAAGATGGGCGCTAATGACTCTCCGCTTTCACAGCTGCCACAGAAGGGGTTGTCAGCCATTTCGACACGAAATGAAAATGACTTCCTGAGGAAATGAAAAAAAAAAAGAAAGAGTGTGTTGCACATCGTGAAGCAGGGCATGGCGTAAGTTCGTTCGGCGCGAGCAGTCGCCAAGCACGTACGTTTTTTTTTTTTTTTCGCAACATGGTTGTCATTTAATTTTTTATGAGTACTTGTAAAGGTAGAGGGGAGGGGAGGGGGGGCATCCCGACGAGCGCATGTACTCAAATAACGACCCAGTTTTAAGAGCGCAGGCAGATCATGCACGACCCACGGGTTGCCACGGGGGAAAGAAACTGCAGTTGCCTTGATTCACTACCCAAGTTCTAGTCGGATAAGTGACAAGTCGAGAAAGAACGTGCCTTCACTAGACACGTGCTCCTGACCCAAATAATGCTTGTGTCACACGCCAAAGAATTTTTATGAATGCTTATGTGAAGGAATAAGGAAGGTACGAGAGAAGGGGCATCTGATGTCTCAAACATGCAAATGCGCCCCCCCCCCCCCCAATCAAAGAAGGCACCAATGCGGGCCTCCACGAAAGTAGTGGTCAGTGGTGAAGCGCCACTAGTATAGTTTCGATTTTGAGAATCTCCACTTCAGGTGTTGTTCGTACCCGGAAAAAGCTGATTAGTATAAATTTCATCAGAGTTCAGGGATGCTTCCCTTGGGTATAGTGTGGATAATTTAATGTCGTATTGTGTATGCTGTTGCATTGAGAAAAAAACCTTCCGCATGTGCCATAGACTTCGAAGCCATCTTGTATAACTCTACAGGCAACTTTAAGCCCCTCTAACATTACTAAGGTTCGAAACATTTGTACAAACAAATCTCGTTAATTGAGAAAGTTGAGTATAATCCTTGTTTAGTTTAGAAGTATTAGGTGAAAGATACCTATATGAGGGATAAAAAAGTCCTCACTGTGTGTTCGTGTAGCAAAGACGCATTGATTGAAATTGATGATTGCAGGGTAATCGCAGTGGTAACGTCAGTTACTTTTTTTAGGTTAGGGTGACGGTAATAGTAACATGTTAACCTTTTTTAGGTTTACGTATAGGGCAGTAATGCCTCTGTTTTTTGTTAGTATATAAGTTGCAGATACATGTAAGCTTCCCGCTAAGCGGTCCCCGTCCAACCCAGGCAGAATTTGCATACGTGTCTTTCAGAATTGCAGTCGGATATGTACGTGACGTCAGGTATATAGATTTCGCGGATTTCAGGCATATCACTTGCCCGTACAGTCTAGTGTTCATTTCGCCACATTTGGGAAAAAAAAAACTTTGATTCTTGACAAATTTAATCTTAACTTATTCTGACGTCACTGCTCTGCGAAATGCATAGTTTTAACAAGGAGCGACGAAGTTTTAGTTTATAATAAGCGTAGTATTTCCATTACCAGCGAGAATGGGCTTATAAATAGAACCGATGTGGCCAATCATTGCTCGGTTGCGCAGATGAATGACAGGCCTGCTGCAGTACTGGGCTAGGAGAGTGTATTAATTCTTAGGTTGTAACCGACTATAGTTACTTTTAGGGGCGAAGCTCCTTAAGCCGTAGGTCGTGCGTCCTCGATGTATATAGCAGTAGTAGTAGCAGCAGTAGTAGTAGATAGCCACCTCTTGTTTAGTGCTTGGAATGTACGCTGGATGGCGGTACTTGTATATGATGAATATATGATGAAAAGATGCGAGAGAGTGGCCTACTTGGAGTGTTCTCTAGATGGACGGACGGACAGACGGACGGATGGATGGACAAACAGATGACGGATGGATGGACGGACGGACGGACGGACGGACGGACGGACGGACGGACGTACAGACAGACAGACAGACAGACAGACAGACAGACAGACAGACGGATGAATAGACGGAGGAACGGACGCACAGACGCACGCACGAAAGCACTGATGGACGGACAGACGGACGCGCGAATGGACGCTTCGCCCCGCTCATCATCGTTCACTCCATCGATAGGCTGTGCTTATTTTTTTGGTAACAGATACAATTTTGCCGCTAACACTGATGACGACTCACATGCCGAATTCAAGAAACTTCTCATTGGTTAGTGATCTTTGCCAATAGCAAGCGCACTTCGATATGGGTATGTCCGGCATTTCAATCGGTTGAAAACTTGTCTTACGAATACTTATTGAGTACAACATCCATGTAAATACAAGCCCAGTTCACTATCTCCTCAGCGAATAAACGCAGAGAAATGTTTTTGGAAAATTTGTTTAAAGATTTAGAGTACTTCGCACTCTACTATGGGAGAACAATAGGTCATCCCGAATCACATTACTTTGTTTGTAAATAGTGGTTAACGATTAGGGTACTTCGTACTCAACCATGAAAGAGCTGAAAGCCGTCCTGTGTTTAGAACAAGTAGTTTACTACGGGAGAGCATAAAGCCGTCCCGTGAGCTTATAACAATGCTCAGGCACGTGACTAGAAAAAGCGGTTAAAGATTTTGAATACTCGGTACTCTCCTATGGGAGAGCACAAAGCCGTCCCGTCTGCCTCACGCTGGATTAGGCCGCCCAGTGTAAGAGTAGGGCTAGAAAGAGTGGGTAACGATTTAGAGAGTACAGGGTAAAGCTTTTGAAAGAACGCAACCGATAGTTAAGCAACACTATCGTCTATTAGAGCCATGTTATACGGTAGGTTTGCGACCACCTATAGAGTGCCAGTCTGCTTAAAGTTTATTACGCTCAATTGAACAGTAAGCTACGCTTAGCAAGGGAACTTATTCGACAACTCATACGATGTCCTAAACGTACGCCGGACTCTTAATGAAAAGACTCACGCTGTTTAGCCCTTTATTTTATTGGTCCTATCTAGGTTACATCTTTCTAGTCGATGCTACATGCCCCAATGTATGTCGGCCACCAAAGTAACGCCAAAAGACCGCTTTAGCAAAGCGTTTCCGCGACTTCGCACAGCCGGCAAGCGAGGGTGCGCATGTGCCATGATCTACTGGCCCATATGCTGCACTAGACATCTGGCTGTTCGGAATATTCAAGCGTGTCGGATGAGGCGGCCAAGAACTTTAAATTGCTAGTGCAAGTGCTGGCACCATGGAGCGAGCCGTCGGTCTGCGGGTTTATTTGGGAGAGGATGGGTCCTCTATTGGGAAGGAGCATATGTTTATGGAGGGGCCTGATGTCCTCTCGTTGTGGTATACCTTTAAAATGTTTGGGAGGGCCAGAACACCTGGGTCCCCCATATGGCTTCGCCCGAGCTTATGTGCTAGCTATTACTCTTTGATTATGTCAGGTCCCCTATAACCAAGTGGCCCAACACGAGCGTCAAACGCTGAATGAAATGTTTTAAAGTCAAGTCTTGCTTCGTTCGAATGCTTACGGTGTACGCCTGAGCCACGGTCGCTTGTTTTTTGTCCAGTGGCAGTGCCTGAGCGATCGGAACGGAGAGTAGGAAACGTTTTGCAGGAACTGCTTGCTGATATCCTTCCAGTACTTCGAAACAAAGGGAAAATTTCGAGGGGCTTGCTTTTGTTTTACAGGACACCAGATAAATTCAACCCATAATTAGTCAAAGGAAACGAAATGGTCCCTTATTCTTGTCTGTAACTACTGTGCAGCAATTATGGCTACACTAAAACTGAATACTTTAATGAATTTGAAATAATGTCGACGAACATCCACTATTTTCATCTGTGAGATCCGAACGCACAATTTTTAAACTCACGCATCCGATACTGAACCAATCAGCTACGACGCTAAATCAGGGGCTCGTGTTGGAGATACTTCAATCATCTTTTGGCACTAGTTCAATCAGAAGTTGGTGCGTCCTATTGAACTAGGCCCGACCGAAAGTTTTCTAATGTGTCTTCGCAGCGTATTTGCGATAGAACATCAAGCGTTTCGCCACGCGTTCCGAAGGACTCGGGCAGGGCGCCTTAGCAGTGCTATTTAGTGCTATTTAATTTAATGGGCGGGCGGATAAGGCTGTCCGAACAACAGCTTTTTCCGCCCGCCCCTTCGTATCAATTATTGCATGGATACGAAAATGAAAGTCACTGTCTTTTTCATTGATTGCTTGATTGATTTGTGGTGTTTAACGTCCCAAAGCCCCCATATGGTTATGAGAGACGCCGTAGTGGAGGGCTCCGGAAATTTCGACCACCTGGGGTTCTTTATGGTGCACCCAAATTGTCTTTTTTATTGTCCTGTAGATTTGCTCCACTGTAATGCAATTCGAATCTGCAAAAATCAGCCAACTACGGTGCATACTCTACAGTTAATAATGTAATAAGGAGGTACGGAGGGCAAAGACGGCTGAAAATACGATTTTTCATTTTTCATGGCGAAGAATTCTGGTATTAATGACAAGTATTTGCACTAAGTGGCGAGAAAGCGCAATAGAAAACGTTCGAAAACGACTCTAAAGGCGCCTGATTCCGGGACTGCACTGTGGCAACTCCGATTTCAAATGGCGCTTTCTCAGAACAGCACTCCTCGTCAGAAAAAAAATTTTTTTACTGTAACCGCTGAACCTAACAAATGCAAACTTTTCTGACTTCTTTCCGAATGTCATGCGCCCTTTCTGAAGCAAAACATCGTTGCTTCGACCAGAATTGTATTTTAATGATTTTTTTTCTTAAGAAAGAGTCCTAAACTTCTGGTCATCTATGTTAGTTTTTAGCTAAAGAATGGTCATGCCTACTATTATAATATTGAGGCAGTAGTTGCACACCTGTCTGTGCTACCCATCGCCCCTTAAAAAGAGAGACACGCAGTGAACACAAGTGTGGATGATTAGATAACATGTTACAACGGCTACGCTGTCTTTATTGTTCGAATTATTGTAAAGAAAGATTATTTTAGTGCGCGCTATTTTTATCATTCCACCCATCCGACAGAACATCATCGGAGTGAATATTCGTTAGTGCTAAATGCTGGTATGAGTCATAAGGACTTGCTTATGAAATCAGTGAAATCCTTATCTTAGCATGCAAAATAAGTTATTGACAAAAGTTCACGATGACTACTCCACCCCTCCTCCCTACAACAGGTACGGCAACTATCACGCAGCTTCTGGGCTTGCGAAAAACGTCTGCATTCCCGGTTGATGGCAGCGGTGGGCAAGCAGAAATAGCGCAGGCGAAAGGCACACAACCTTTGTCATTGGAGTCGCTAATAATATTCGTCACTGTCGTATACTCTGGGCTTTCCAGGTAGTCCCCGGGAAGCATACATGGACCGGCTAGACTGCTGTTGAAGCAATTCCTTGCGTCTTGCCCGCTCCTGGACGGACAGCACCTGCAAATTTTATTTGCGAATACGTGTTCAATGATACAGTGACACGCGAAATGTTCGAAAATACAAAGGTGTTGTTTGTAGTTTTACACATTGAGCTTTTGTCGAGCTCTAATTATTTTGCGATTGAATTCATACGTAATTTTTGCAAGCATATCCTCTGCATTATTAACGTGTGGCCATTTTCACCACTGTGAAGTACAAGTTCTCGTAGAATGTTTTGAAGCACCTGTTTTAGCGCAAGACCTGTTCTTAGCGAAACGCAATAAGGTTATTCACGAGTCTGTGAAGCACACTGATGTGATTACTGTTTTTGGATTTATAGACGACTGTCTGATCGTTGCCAATAATTATCATCACAATTTTGAAACGGTTGTTACAGGAACTCTAACCATGTTCATGACAGTGTTATCTGCCTTGGTGCTGACGCATGAAGTACTAAAAGACAACTTCATAAGATTCCTTGACCTCGGGCTGCATTTTTCGTCAGCAGGAGTACGCTGAAGCTATGAACCGTGAGAAAATAATCCGGTTCTTCCATTCACGCCCGCTCACTCAAAATTTATAAAGCGTGCCCCCGCCCCCACCCCCGATGATAAATATCTGTTTTCAAAATTTACCGATGAAGTCGTACCACCACAAGCTTGATGCAAGCTTGGGGGCTCAAGCTAAACGTTTGTTCAACTCTGGTTATTCCTTGCGCCTGTTAACCGCCGTCGCCGAAAATATAAGCAGGAAAGGAAAGGAAAATGTCAGAGACCAGGCAGCCGGCACTAAGGCAGCCAAGGTTGCTGTAGTGCCCTACATGCATGCCATTTCGCATAAGTTGCAAAGGATAGCGAGAACGGCTGGTGCGGATGTAGTGTTTTCTGCTCCCGAACGACTACAAGGAATGTGCAAAGCGGTTAATGTAGACAGTAGCGGGAAACGGGATTGTGAAATGAAGCACCGATAAAAATTCGTGAATTCTTGTCGTAGCGTTGTCTATTGCACACGTTTGACCTATGATTGCGTGTACATAGGCCAGTCCGGAAGGTGTGTGAACGAAAGACTTAGGGAACACAAGTACAACGGAGAAAAAACTGTCTCTGGTCATTTGTCTCTCCACTGTCAGAGGTGTGGTTGCGTCCCAGTGTTTCAACACACCCGTATTCTCTACAGGGCAGGTGACAGAACTACGCGTGAAATCGTTGAAGCCTATGAAATCGACAAAATGAAGAATGAAGGTGATATGCCACTTCCAAATCAATACAACGTTGCGAGGTGAAGATTGTGCCGTACACGATATCCATATCATGATTATCATGTTCGGATGTGTTGTTTACATTCGTCATCTATTCAAGTCACGTGATGCCAAATTTATTATATGTGGAGTTAGCAAAACGGCCGCGAGCACGCTATGAGCGCGGTATGTTGTCATCTTCTTACATGACACGCGTCTCATGATTATCATGTTTGCACCAGTCATATACCTTCATCATGCATTGACGTCACGTAACAACAAATTTGGTACATGTGGAGCTAGCGAAACAGCCGCGAGTGCATCATGAAGGGCCCAATATACTTCAAGGTAACATTGACGCGCGCGCACGCTGCGCACAGCCCCGCTGCGTTAGGAAAAATTGGAAGATCCCACGTATGCAGTGCGAGTAGATGATATGCGAAGCACGAATGAGAAATCTTGATATGTCACTTTAAGATCAGCACAACGTTACGAGGTGGAGGTAAATGATGCCGTACATGACTTCCGTGTAATGGTTATTATGATTGGATGTGTCGTTTACTTTCGTCATCTATTCACGTCACGTGATACCAAATTTAGTATATGTGGAGCTATCGAAACGGCTGCGAGCACGCTATGAGCGTGGTATGTTGTCATGTTCTTACATGACACGCGTATCAGGGTTAACTTGTTTGCACCAGTCATATACCTTCATCATTTGTTGGTACGTCACGTAACAACAATTTGGTACATGTGGAGCTAGCGAAACAGCCGCGAGTGCATCATGAAGGGCCCAATATACTTCAAGGTAACATTGACGCGCGCGCACGCTGCGCACAGCCCCGCTGCGTTAGGAAAAATTGGAAGATCCCACGTATGCAGTGCGAGTAGATGATATGCGAAGCACGAATGAGAAATCTTGATATGTCACTTTAAGATCAGCACAACGTTACGAGGTGGAGGTAAATGATGCCGTACATGACTTCCGTGTAATGGTTATTATGATTGGATGTGTCGTTTACTTTTCGTCATCTATTCACGTCACGTGATACCAATTTAGTATATGTGGAGCTATCGAAACGGCTGCGAGCACGCTATGAGCGTGGTATGTTGTCATGTTCTTACATGACACGCGTATCAGGGTTAACTTGTTTGCACCAGTCATATACCTTCATCATTTGTTGGTACGTCACGTAACAACAAATTTGGTATATGTGGAGCTAGCAAAGGAGCCGCGAGTGCGTCATGAAGGGCCCAGCATACTCCTATGTAGCGTTGACGCGCGCGCACGCTGGGCACAGTGACGCTACGTCAGCAAAACGCGAGCACTCTATAGTCTGTTGGCGCGACCCGACGACAACTGGCGCGAAATGTGACATTCTGCATTTCACGCCTATGCGTTACCCGGAAAACACTGCGTCTCCCTCTTTTCGTGACGAAGGGACGCCGGAAGCGCTGAAACCGCATGCGTCGAAACAACGAAGCGAGGCGCGCGCTTGTGAGTATATGGCAGGGCCGGCGCCTGGCGTGGCAACACTGGCGTGACGCGACGAAATGAACGCCGGCGAGCACGCACACCGCGTCACGTCAAATATATTGGCGTCTTAACTGTGACATGTAGGCATGTTTTCACACGACACGCATCTCATGATTATCATGTTTGCACCAGTCGCATGCCTTCGTCATTCATTGGTGTCACGCAATACCAAATTTGGCATATGTGAAGCAAGCGAAACGGCCGCGAGCGCATCATGAGTGTGGCATGTAGTCATGTTGTTATATGACACGCATCTCATGATTATCATGCTTGCACCAATCAGATACCTTAGTCATTCATTCACGTACAGTAATACTAAATTTTGTATATGTCACGCTAGCGAAATGGCTGAGAGCGCATCATCACGAGCGTGGCATGTAGTCATGTTGTTACATGACACGCATATCGTGATTTTCATTTTATGGTCTGTCGCTTGTGTTTTCCATGCAATCATGTCATACCATACCAGTTTTCAATATGTCATGGGAACAAAACCATCACAAGAGCAGCAAGACCATGAAATGTAAATCACGACATTCATGACATACATGTCTTGATTTTCGGGATATTACTAGTAAAATATGCTCGTCGTATGGCCATGTTATGCCATACCAAGTTTGGTATCGATACCATTATCCAAACGGCCAGGAGAGCTAAAAGTCGCAGGCGGCCGGCCGGCCGGTTAGACAGACAGACAGACAGACAGACAGACAGACAGACAGACAGACAGACAGACAGACAGACAGACAGACAGACAGACAGACAGACAGACAGACAGACAGACAGACAGACAGACAGACAGACAGACAGACAGACAGACAGATAGATAGATAGATAGATAGATAGATAGATAGATAGATAGATAGATAGATAGATAGATAGATAGATAGATAGATAGATAGATAGATAATAGATAGATAGAAGATAGATAGATAGATAGATAGATAGATATGATAGATAGATAGATAGATAGATAGATAGATAGATAGATAGATAGATAGATCAGATAGATAGATAGATAGATAGATAGATAGATAGATAGATAGATAGATAGATATATAGATAGATAGCTAGATGATAGATAGATAGATAGATAGACAGCAGACAGGACAGGACAGACAGACAGACAGACCGACAGAACAGACAGGACAGACAGACAGACCAGACAGACAGACAGCCAGACAGACAGACAGACAGACCGGATACAGACTAGATAGATAGATAGATAGATAGATAGATAGATATGATAGATAGATAGATAAGGAATAGATAGATAGATCGATAGATAGACAGACAGACAGACACGACAGACAGACAGTACAGAGGCAGAACAGGACAGAACAGAACAGACAGACAGACAGACAGACAGGACAGACAGAACAGACAGGACAGGCAGTACAGACAGATAGATAGATAGATAGATAGATAGGCTAGATAGATAGATTATGATAGAGCTAGATAGGATAGATAGATAGATTAGATAGATAGATAGTAGATAGATAGATAGAATCGATGATAGATAGATAGATAGATAGATAGATAGATAAGATAGATAGATAGATAGATAGATAGATAGATAGATAGATAGAGACAGACAGATAGATAGATAGATAGATAGATAGATAGATAGATAGATAGATAGATAGATAGATAGATAGATAGATAGATAGATAGATAGATAGATAGATAGATAGATAGATACCCTCAATGTCGCCGACGTTCGCTAAGAAATTCTTCGTATTTAAAAAAGCGGTATGTGTTGATCGCACAAATGTATAATGATGCAGTGGCACGAAATATGTGTCGTCCGTTTTGTTTTTGCGGCGAATAAAAGGTGAGACCTCAAGAATATGTAGACACTGAGCTGCTGAGCTGAAATGGCCTCTGAAAAATTAAGTACTATGTACATGTTCTTTTCCTGCTTTCGTTAGGTTTATACTGTTAGGTTACGTCAAAACAAAGTATATGGTACAGCGCACGCGCAAGATACCGGATGGATGGATGGATGGATGGATGGATATGGCTGTACCCTTTAGATCGGGCGGTGGCTAGAGCCACCAAGCCGTAATACCTAATGAACCAAAAACTATATTTTTTTCCTTAAAAAAAAGAGTTTGAGGATTCGTACTTTGCAGTGAAGAGTCTAATTTTCACTCGTGCCTTGACTTTAGCCACCAATGAGATAACCTCCTTCTAGTTAAGTCTACCCGCTTAAAGTTTATTTTGCCCTACCGGTCCCTAAACTTCCGTGCTTTGAAAAACTCTGCGCTATCATCCTGAACTATAGGGTGAAGCCCTTTACAGAACATTATCAAGTGTTCGGCAGTTTCTTCTTCCTCTCCACACGCACTGCATACTGTGTCTACCCCTTCGTATTTGGCCCGATATGTCTTGGTTCGCAGTACTCCCGTTCTGGCCTCAAACAGTAGAGAACTACCCCGAGTATTATCATGGATCCTTTCCTTGGCAATTTCCTGCTTAAACGTTCGATAGATCTCTAGTGCAGACTTCTTTATCATGCCCATTCTCCACATGTCAGTCTCCGTTTCCTTCACTTTCTTCTTAACCGATAGTTCTTTTTGGTTTGGCCACCTGCTGTTTTCTAAGTATTTACCAGTCAACTTCCTGGTTCGCTTTCTCCATTTTGTGTCGACATTCTTCATGTACAAGTAGCTGAAAACCTTCCTAGCCCAACGCTCTTCCCCCATTTCTCTCAATCGCTTCTCAAATTTTATCTTGCTGCTAGCTTCCCTGCCCTCAAATGATGCCCATCCCATATCACCTTGTACTCCCTGATTTGGTGTATTCCCGTGAGCTCCTAAAGCAAGCCTACCTATTCCACGTTGCTTAATTTCTAATCTTGCTTGAACTTCTGATCTCATGCACAAGACCGCATTGCCGAACGTCAGCCCAGGAACCATGACCCCTTTCCATATTCCTCTCACAACATCATACCTATTGTAATTCCACAGTGCCCTATTTTTGATGACTGCTGCATTCCTGTTACCTTTAGTCGTCACGTATATTTCGTGTTCCCTCAGATACTCGGTCCCATTGCTTATCCATACGCCCAGATATTGTGTTTATCTGTTATCTCTAGCGTGACCTCCTGTATTCTAAGCTCACTACCTTCGTTGTCATTAAAAATCATGACTGCTGATTTTTCCTTACTGAATCTAAAATCTAACCTATCTCCCTCATTACCGCAGATGTCCATCAATCTCTGCAAATCTACCTTGTTGTTGGCCATTAGCACTATATCATCTGCGTACATTAATGCTGGTAGTGCCTGATCAATAAGTTTTCCTTGTTTGACTATAGAGAGGTTGAAGCCCAGTCCACTTCCCTCTAATTTTGCCTCTAATCCTTGTAGGTACATCATGAATAATAAGGGTGACAGGGGGCACCTTTGCCTAAGCCCCCGTTTTACCTCTGCAGGCTTGGATACCTGTTTTTCCCACTTTATAACTACCTTGTTACTTTTATAGATACCCTTTAAAAGATTAGTGACTACATGTTCCACGCCTAGTGTGTCTAGTATTCCCCACAATTCCTCTTGAACCACGCTATCGTACGCTCCCTTGATATCCAAAAATGCTAGCCACAGGGGCCTGTGTTCCGTTTCTGCTATTTTGATGCACTGCGTCAGTGAGAACAGATTGTCTTCCAACCTCCTGTGTTTCCGAAACCCATTCTGCAGTTCCCCCAGCACCCCCTCATCCTCTATCCACGCCTGCAGTCTTTCCTTTATAATCTGCATCGCCAGCCTGTAGACCACTGATGTCACTGTTATAGGACGGTAGTTGTTTCTGTCAGCTTTGTCCCCCTTTCCTTTATAGATCATGCTCATCCTGCTATGTTTCCATCCATCGGGAACTTCACCATCGATTAGTATTGTGCTCACTGCCTCTCTCAAAGCCTGCTTAGACTTCGGACCTAATGTCTTTATCAGCCTAATTGGAATGCCATCTGGGCCTGTTGATGTACTACTCGGAACCCTTTTCTCAGCCCTTTCCCACTCTTGTTGTGAAAATGGAGCCATTGCACCACTTGATTCGTCCTCGTCTATTGTGGTGCATAAAGTACTTATTTGTTGAAATGTTTCTGTCACTTTTGTTCTTATATATTCAATAGCTTCGTCCCCTTCTAGCCTAGCACCTTGGGCTGTAGTTATAAATCTCTGCTCTAGGCTCGTCTCATTTCTTAGGGAGTTTAGATGGTTCCAAAATTTTGCAGCTGCCTTTCTATCTTTTTTATGTACTTCTGCCAGCCACTCAGCTCCCTTCCTTCTAATCTTTTCATTGATCAGAAGGGATGCATCCCTTCTACAGCTTAGAAAGGTTGCCCATTTTCTTTCAACATCATCTGTCGGTTCACCCCGCTGCTTAGCATGTCTGTGTTCCCTAGAGGCTTCCTGACGTTTTGCTATGGCTCTCTTAACTTCCTCATCCCACCAACTTTTGGGTTTGTGTCTTCTTTTCCGGGGTGACTTGTCACGCGTCTTAGCAAGCTCTAGCTCAAAGAGTCTAATTAGATTCGTGTATGTCCACACTGTCTTATTATCCTCCGTGATTACTTTCTCAATTTGTTTAGTGGCTATTTCAATTTGCCTTTCTGGATAAAAATTTTCCTGTAGTTGCTCATCTTGTCTCCTTCCCACTTTCACTCCTCTTCCAAAACTTAGCTTGATACGTTTGTGATCGCTACCCAGACTTCTGGAGCCACCTTCATCTATGTGCATTCCCCTGAGCTTATCGTACATCTTATATGACATCAGTGCATAATCTATCGTCGACTGAAGCCTTCCTACCTCCCATGTTATTTGTCCTTCACACTTCTCGGTACTGTTGCAAATGATCAAATCAAGCCTTTCACACATATCCATGATCATTTTGCCTGTCGGGTCGGTATACCCATCTATATCTTCTATGTGCGCATTCATGTCTCCTAGTATAATTATCTCGCACTCTCTTCCTAACTCCTGAATGTCCTTTGATATACACTCTACCATTGTCTGGTTTTCCTCTATGGCCTTTGCTCCCGTCCACAAGTACACGAAACCAAGGAGTGTCATTTGACCTGCCACTTTCCCTTTTAGCCATAAATGTTCCTTGCACTCCTGCTTGACCCTTTGCCAGTCTGTACTTTTATTTTTAGATACCGTTACGTTTTCATCGCGCCATCTATGTGGCAAGCAAACGCGTAGTCAATGATAAACAAAACTTCGTCAGGTGACTGTGGTGACAGTAACGCCTTGGACAAAGTGAGAGGTAGTAGCAGTAGTAGTAGCAGTAGTAGTAGCAGTAGTAGTAGTAGTAAAAGTAGTAGTAGTAGTAGTAGTAGTAGGAGGAGGAGGAGGAGGAGGAGGAGAAGGAGAAGTTTCAGTGGAAGTGGTAGTCGTAGCAGTACGATATCTCATTCGACCCAGTCTCAAGCGCGTCATAAGTCAACTCGGCCGATACATGAATGAGAGATATGCAAGAGGGATCGCTTATCGCAAACGTCGGCTGTGCATTGTCGAGCACATACCACGAGATAGCGAAAGCTCCACTTTGCTCGCTCGCGTCACAGGTCTGCTGAACTATTGTGACCACTCGACGAGAGGAAACAAATGGACGCGGGAGCGGCCATACATGTTTGCACCTGACAACATTACTACTAATGAAGGGTAAAAGTGAAGTTCTAAGGGGTTTTTTTTTTGCTAGACACGATGCTAGTGAGAACTAACCAGCAAGAATGCCATGGAAAGTATGAACACTGCTACTTTTAGTAATAATAAAATGAATGAGAAGAAATTAATATGGATGGAAAGATAACTTGTCGCCGACAATGACTGACATTTGAATTATTTATATTTATAAAACTAGTACGAGTAGTATTTCCTATCGTTTTCTAGGTATTATTAGGCTGATAATTATTTTGTCTAACAATCCAATTAGTCATTCAGCGGTACGCAGTCACGATAATCCGCACAGTACACACTGTAGCTCGTCGTCATGCCATGATGTCGGTGCCAGTAGGTGCACAATGCTATGATTGACTATAATGACGAAATAACAAATCTTAGGAACATACCCCGAGCTCCCAATTAAGGTAAAGACGTCTCTATACTGAAGTGAGGAAGAAGAGATGGGCATTGGGAGGGCATTGTAGAAGGCGAGGAGTGAAGGCATTCCATGAAGGCAAGATAGCCATTGGTCAATAGAGAGAAAAGACTGGATTCCAATAGAAGGCAAGTGCGCGACGGGAGGAGGAAATTCAGATGAACAGATGCGATTAAAAAGCTTGCGGGAACAGCGTGACCGCGGCAAGCATTGGAATGGGTTAGTTAAAGAAACATTGAACAGGTATTCGCCTTCGAATAGGTGTAGTCAGTATGCTGATGGCGAATACAATGCGACAACTATTTACACATTTTACTTACAGATTTCAGGACAGACTCTTGAATGTAAGAACCGCATTGTGAGCCGCCTTCTTGAACGACAGGGCAATGGACAAAGCGGGCAACCGTGTTCACTGCAGTTCTTTGCACGCACTCCCTGCGCATAGCGAGAGAAGAACAAAAGGCTGGAAACATTCTGCGCAATGCGGCCACCTTCTCTGCTCCGGGCTTCACTTTGACGGGTTGAAATTTCAAAAGACGCTTCTCAAGAAACTGTAGTGCAACCAAACTGACATGGCGTACCTGCACAGGAAGTGTCCGCACCAGAGAAGATCGATGATTTCCCCGAATGGAGTCTCTGCCAGGCACTGGCTACATTCAACCGCGAAGGACGCTGGTGACTGCTCCGAGGCAGCGCGAGCACCCCTTAGAACATTCCTCGATGCGCCTTGCTGGTTGTTCCCTGAGGTAGTACTACTGCTTGTTGGGGTCTGGAAGGAAATCGATCCAAACATATCGGCTTAATTTCACGCTGATATGGCACTTTGGACGTCTTTATGTCTTTTTGTGTGTATGTGCGGTGAAGTAAGGGTGCGCACTCATATGCTACATTTTACTAGTTATAGCACTATGCAGCAGAGCACGATGTGGCGGGCTCGATTTGCGGTTAATCTAGGTGAACTTTCATGGCAATGAAATACAAGAACGGTTTGACGTAGGAAGCAATATTTTTAGTGCAGTGTACAGCCGCAAAGACGTATGTCTCTGAGGACCTAAAGAAAATGGCGCTACCGAACGAACTCAAGTCCGAAATCTGCCACAATGGTGCAGTGAAGTTTTTGCGCTTTCACTTAAAATTTGGTGCTTGGTTCATCAATCGTTATCGTGTGATAACTTTTTTTATAGTGACACAGCTTCGAATATTCATCGCACGACTTTGTTGATTACCCACCGATGTAGTCTCCATTTGTTATGGCATTCGACTGCTGGCCTGCAGGTCGCTGTGTTAGTCCCAGCCGTGGTGGTTGCATTTGAGGTGGAGGCGAAATGCCAAAACCAGTGCACTTCAATTTAGGTTCACATTAAAGAACCTCGAGTAGTGGGAACTTCAGAAGCCCTCCACTACGGCGAATCACATGATCACATCATGGTTTCGGTACGTACAAACGCAACTATTGTTGGTTGTATTAGCAGTGTAGCTTCATACACGAGCATGCAGGGGCGTGCTGAAGGAGCACGCCGCCACATTGTTCTTCTCTGTTGATCTGAGTATAATCACTAGTTACACACATTTCATTAGTTATCTCACGGCAACCGCTGTCATTTACTACACCTTGACTGTGATTTCACAATGTGTCGAAAAAATTGTCAAAGTGATACTATAGCTACCAGCCCCAATGACTGAAATTCCAATGAGCAAGCTCACTCTGCTGTGCGAGACCTCACATGTCGTGGACATGATCAGCAGCTGCTCTGGGATGACTGCGGCTCCTACACAGACCGACTTGGTACTTTCCACGATATCACCTCTCGCTATTCACACGATAACTTTGAATGGCACCCTCTCGCGTATGGTGCCATCGTGGAGGCTCGGGGGCTGCTCTAAGCTCGTGCGCTCGCTATGTGGAGGCTTCTAGACAATATCGGCTGGTGTCTGTCCTGATAAAGTTACTGAAATATTACAGGGCAAGTTGATAAAGCAATGTGCACTGAATGTCCAAGCAAAGCGCTCCGCGAAATCGCAGTCAGGAGCACGCTCTGAGTCGATTCCTCTTAGTGTCATCTAATATTGACGTCCCAGCCAAAACCATATTGACGCCCCAGCCCATCAATCTCTGATCATCAACAGAGGTTTATACCGATGCTGGTGGTGTTGACCTCGGCACTGCATTGGCCGCATATAGGCGACTGCCAGCGAGCACGTGATAACGTGCGCCAGCCCCTCCTTGAGTCGCTCTGAGAGCGGCCATATATACGGGAACAGAACAATCGTGTCTGGAAATCGTTTTCACTGTGCAGTGGTTTTGATAGTATCTCTACAAGGGTAGTCCGCTGGTGTAGACTCGCTTAATCATTCACTGTGCTTGCTTGTGAATCATCTGGATCTCTCTGGTCAGCTAGTACGCTGGGTCCTTCATCTGTATGTGTATACAAATATATGATTCTGCTGCTTGCTGCAAGGGCAACCAGTGACGTGCTGATGCGAATTGTCTCTCTCGCATGCCACTTCCGACGATTGAATGCGACGCTGACAACTTTGATCAATACATCCCTTTTGTGTATTCAAAATTTCTGCATGTAGATAGTTACATCTTAACGGTTGTTGCGCAAACACACGGATACACAGAACAGAAATACACGGACGGGCGCAATATAACTGGTTCGCTATTTTTTTTCCACTTCACAACCCCGAGATCTGTGCGATCTGGTCGAAAAAAAACACATGACATTGCAGACACCCTCATGTCCGAGAAGCCGAAGGAGAAGAGCTTACAGTCGCTGTTTGCGGTCACGGAGGAGTCCACTACAGACAGACATTTTTCGATGAATGAACTTCCGGCCATCTTCGGTGCACAAGAACACACTACACTGCTCAGGAATGTTTTACTGGCCTGGGATACGCCACAATGCCGAAAGGTTTATCGCCACCACACCCAATGTAAGCGTTACAAGCAGCATATCCTGATGCGCCGTCTGGTCACCATCAGTCAAGTTCACCTCCTAGCCCCCATTTAAAGAAACTGCAATAGATCTTATGGGACGTATACCTTTCTAGCGATCGACATACGGCAGTTGTTGGGTTATTACTTGCGTAAATCTGCTAGCCCGACATTGTGAGACGGCAACACTGCCATCGGTCACAGCAAAATGTGTCTCTATCTTTTGGCTGTTTGACGTTATTCTCAGACTTAGACCTACCCATATCCACACATCGTAATCAACGACTGTGGGTGGCAATTTACCACAAATGCTGTCAAAGAGACCCTTCGTCGGTGCTTATGTAGTTTCCATCATTTTACGTCATACCATTCAGAAACTAACGGCCTAGTCAAACGCACGAACAGAACGGTTGCCAACATGCTGCACATGTACGTATACTCCACACACATGAACTTTTTTGGGCCGTATTTTCCTTTTGTCGCCTATGTTTTCAACAACCCAACAGACGAGACCACTGGTTACGCAACTTTCTTCTCCATGCTGTCCACCACGGTGCTATTTCGACATCCCGTTCCCTTATTCCACCGATAACAGTGAACCGATTAACGAAATTTACTGTAGTGCCGAATAAACGTGACACCTTACTCGGCTATGTCCAATCAAGACCTCTCAAAAATTCACTACCACCACCGACTTGCTTACTTAGATACTGGTGACCATAGTCCGAACACCTTCGCGGAAGCATGGCTTGTGCCGGAAGTTTGTCCCTCGCTATCGCGGGCCCTACGTTACCCTTGAACTCCTCAGTGAGGTCAACTATCGCATAGCACGACTCATAAGCACTGGACGATGCCCGTCCAAAACAAGCGATGCTTGTCGCTCGCATGAAGTTCTACAATTCACGAACACGGACACTCGCCCGCCGGGCCTCATCTGCCAACGGGACAACGTCACCAGTATTAGCAATGAATTACTCATATAACGCTAATGAACAAGCAGAAAGAAGGTAGAAAAAGAAAATTAAGTTTCATGTACTGTCTTCGTACGCCTACCTGAAAAACGCCAACCATGCAGACTTGCCTGGTCCTCAACCTTTTGGTGAACTACTTGACTGTAGCAATGTACAAAAATAATAGACAATTATTTAAAAAAAATTCCTAACATCACACAAAAAGGATTCTTAAACTTCCAGCTGATGCCTTCCCCGCGCAGAAGAGTGAACCGCCAGCTAGGCAAGTGTGCGTTGCCGAGGACATCACTAGGCTGCCCACTCCACGCTCTTCCGCTGATTTCGAGCTCGCGTAGTTGCCCAGAGCACAGGATTTAGAACTACACCAACCTACACTAAAGCTACATACTTATTCAGATGTTTTTTTGTATGTTACACAAAGTTCCTCAATTCCTTAGGCGTCCCTGTCGCACAGCTCAATTCAATATTTTGTTGACACAGCGGCGTACCGCTGCCGGCCCGCCAGGCGTCAAGAGTGCCCTTCAAAAAGGGAGATGGGTGGGGGTGTTGGCAGTTCATCACAAACCATAGTGCCCTAAACAAGCACAAGGTCTCGTCTCCATCTTGCCTCGTGTCCCTTTAAAGCGCTGTGGTTGCTCTTGCTGAGGTGCGTTAAGAGTACCATCCAATGCATGCATCGAGTGCCCATTGAACGTTAAGTGCGAAAGCACCAACAAATAAAGATACGAGGCAAGGTACCTCAGAATACCCTTGAAATACAGCCATTGCTTCAGTTTCATGAAAATTTGTAGGTATTAGATAGTCGGGTAGCACTGATTATCAACTTTGTTTCAAAATGAAATGATCTTTCTTCTAACGAAAACTTAGTGTGTACGCTTCTATAGTTAATCCATTTTGGAGTACACGATGATGATTATAAGTGGGGTTTAACGTCCCAAAACCACAATATGATTATGAGAGACGCCGTAGTGGAGGGCTCCGGAAATTTTGACCGCCTGGGGTTCTTTAACGTGCACCCAAATCTGAGCACACATGCCTACAACATTTTCGCCTCCATCGGAAATGCAGCCGCCGAAGCCGGGATCCGAACCTTGGAGTACACGAGGCCAATTTCAAACACCTTCACATAAAGGCCCGCCATATTGATGGAAACAATACGTGCTGAAGCGGCCATGGCACCTAAGTTTTGCTCATTATCTGTAGTATGCTCATTAATTCTCGGGCGTTCAAAAACTATGAAACGAAATTCCAGCACACTTAGTCTAGTACCTAATTTAAAGTGAATATCTCCTTTTAAAAGCACAAGTGGCTCTGATAACACTGCACACTCGCGAGCCGTGACGTAACAAGCTGCTGGCTTTGCGAGCATCTGTACTATGGCCAACAATCTTGTTTCGTGGTCAGCTGCACGTAAAAAGGGCGTCTCTCATAATCGTATGATGGTTTTGGGACGTTATACCGCACATATCGATCATGCACGCGGAAAGTAGTTATTTCAGTCTTCTTATGTTTGGTACTGAATATGGAACGATTTGCCGCGGATGTAACTTGGGTAAAAGATAATGGCTCCGCTCCATTAGGCACAAGACGTCACACACGCCATTGCTATATGACGGTTGATGGTGGTGCACGGGATTTACAGCCGACTACTTCTATAGCTTATTTTGCAATGAAATATTCTTCTACAGTTCAGTTTTGTTACATATACAGGTACAGCCTTCTCCTATTAATTTATGCTGAAAACAGCAATTTGAACTGACCATGTCATAGCCCCATCAAAAGGAGAAAAATGTATATGCCTTCGTTTTTTTTTTTTTCATAAAGCTAGGCCTTCTAAGCCTTTCTTACGAGGGCCACGCC